ATGGCCCAATTTCTCTTCTTTCTTTTTGATTCCAACTTTCTTTATTTTTGAAACTCGTTATTTTGTTGTAAATCCAAAAAGTATGTATGAAGTTCCTATAAATCTACTAAATAGGACTTGGCTAGTTGAAAATTGAAATTATGAAAAATATTCTAATTTTTACATTTCGAAAACTTGAAAAATTATATAATTGACTAATGGTAGAAATTATTAAGTAAATATAGTATTTTATAATTTTAAATGTTTGATATGTTTTATTTTACTTATTAAATGATTTTAAAAATGATTAAAAATTTAAAATAATATTAAAAATAAGAAAACATTTTTTTTACGAATAAATCTCGCCTAGGCTCTCTTAAATTATTCGCCTCCATATTTAACCACGTTTTATACTTTTTAGGACACTGATATCTATTGAAAGTCTCGTATACAGGTTAGGTAAGGGACTTAATTAGCTTTGTGCATAATTTGACCAAAATTCCATATTTTGACCACCTCCTTATCTTTTGATTTGTGGGATAGGTTTTTTATTTGTAATCTTCTTTATGGAAATATGAGTCGAAATCTGCTTTGTAAGTGGTTCATCTTCTCCAAAACACTCCATTTCTTCTCCTTTTTCTATCATTTCTAGTCAATGCACCTCCAGATCAGAGTTTCGTCTAAAAAAACAATGAAATGTGCTAACATTCGACAAAATCAACTTCAAAAATACTATCAAATACCTCGTTTAAGAGTTTAGACAAGTATAAATCAAAGTTACATCTCGCCATACGAAAAAAGGTAAGACTTAGGAGCCCATTTCGAGTTAAATAATTGATGAATTCTTGATGGTTGAATGAATGCAACTGATCTTTTGTTTTTCGCCTTTTTACTTTGAAGTTAAGCCAAATTAACATGGCTTGAGTCTTGAGAAATGAATTTAATAGCCTAAATTCAAGCAGGTGCCTAGAAATGTACGCAGGTCCCATGAGCAGTTGTCGGCTCTCCTCAACTAATTTCACGCCGTTGAGCTTTGAATATCAAGTACAGACACTGCACAGATGCAGAATAATGTTTCTTAATCAATTAATATATACAAAGTCAAATGGTGGCACACAATGCAACACCGACGTCTTCCCTCTCTTTCATTGAATCACATGCACCAAAATTTTCTATATTCATTGCATTAAATTACTTAAAAAAGACATCTTTTGAACTTTTTTGAGTTCTTGGAAAAGTCCATCATCAACTCTTTTATTCTTTAATTAAATCTCTCTCTCTCTCTCCTTTGAATTTCCATGTATTGACTTCTCCTTCCCAACTTGCTATGCTCATCTCCCTTCATTTAAATCTCTTCGTGCATATAACCTTATCTTCTGTACACAAACAACCAACATCAATTCATCAATTTTGATCTACGTGATTCTTTGGGATGTTAGTTGGAAAATACCATTTTTCATTGATTTGCTTAATTTGAAATCCTTGATCTTAGTTTTTTGGGAGCTGGGATTTAGTTATTTTCACTTTTGATCTGTTAAGACAGTAGTTGATCATCAATGGAAGCTTATGAAGTTGAAGTTCCTTCTTATTTTCTCTGTCCAATCTCCATGCAACTGATGAAAGATCCGGTCACAGTTTCTACCGGGATAACCTACGACAGGGAAAACATCGAAAAATGGCTGTTTTCCTTCAAGAACACAACATGTCCAGTCACAAACCAACAAGTATTAGACACAGATCTCACTCCAAACCACACTCTACGCCGATTGATTCAGGCCTGGTGCACTCTCAATTCATCTTATGGCGTTGAAAGAATACCAACTCCTAAGGCCACGGTCGACAAATCCTACATTATTAAACTCCTCCATGAAGCCAAGAAATCACCACAAGCACAGCTCAGTTTCCTGCAAAGACTCCGATCCATTGCACAATGCAACGAAAGCAGTAAAAGGCAATTGGAGGCTGCTGGTGCAGTTGAATATTTAGCATCAATAATAAAGAAAGATGCATTGGATTGTGATCAAGATTCAGACCTTAGCAAGGCAAGTGATGAAGCATTGAACATTCTTTATCATCTAGAAATCTCAGATTCAGTTTTGAGGAAAATTCTTGGAGACGACGATGATAAATTCTTGGAGAGTTTATTGCACGTATTGAAATGTGGGAATTACCAATCTCGAACTCAGGCAATAATGATACTGAAATCTGCCTTAAATGTGGCTGATCCAGTGCAGTTGATTGGAGTTAAGCCCGAATTCTTCATCCATGTTGTCCAGATTTTCCACGACAAAATCTCGCAGCAAGTTTCCAAGGCAGCATTGAAGCTTCTTGTGGAGTTATGTCCATGGGGAAGAAACCGAGTCAAAGCGGTCGAATCAGGCTTAGTTTCAACATTAATAGAGCTTCTTCTTGACACATCTGAAAGAAGGGCTTGTGAGCTTATTTTGACAGTATTGGATCAGCTATGTGGTTGTGCCGAGGGCAGGGCCGAGCTATTGAAACATGGAGCTGGACTCGCCATTGTTTCGAAGAAAATACTCAGGGTTTCTCATGTGGCAAGTGATAAGGCAGTGAGAATAATTTCTTCAATTTCAAAATTTTCAGCAAATTCTAGGGTTCTTCAAGAAATGCTGCAAGTTGGGGTGGTCGCAAAGTTGTGTTTTGTGCTTCAAGTGCGCAGCAGTCAAAAATCAAAAGAGAGGACTAAAGAAATCCTTATGCAGCATTCTAGGATTTGGAAACAATCTTCTTGTATTCCACCTCATTTAATTTCTTCTTATCCAATTCCTTAATTTTCTCCTTAAATTGTTTACACACGAGAATGGAATTTGATAAACGAGGCAAACAGCCTCGTAAAATTATATTGTAAATGGATTTTTGTTAGTACTAATTCTATGTAGTTTACATATTGTGTAGACATGTCTGGTAAATTTTTCCATCGGAATGAAGTTTGTGAAAACTTGATCAATGATGCTCATAGCCCGTCGGAACTTCTAGGAAGCTGGCCTAATCTAGCTTCCTCAGAAAGATCTTTTACAAAAAGTAGAAGCAAAAACAGAAGCGATATCAAACGGTCCCTTAGTGATATAAACAACAATTAATGGCGTCGGACTTTATTCTGTCCTATTGTGTTCAGTTTAGTTCAGTCCATTTCGACCTTCCAAAACACGTGCATTTACGAGAAGTGCACTAATATATAGCTCTACGATGGTATCTGCCGTCAAAAGTTAGTAAAGAACCGGCTCAAATTGTTAACGGTGCTGATAGTATTTCAGTTAACTCCATCGAAACTAACCATAAAATAATTATTAGGGCTACACTTACACCACAGAAGATGAAGAAGAAGAGAACGTAGTCCCAATAGGAATTTCTTATTCTGCAGAAACTAGAAATGAATATTATAATAATTAATTTATTCAACAGTTGACCATCGTCCATTTTAATTTCTTGAACAGTAAATTGCGTTTCAAAGTTGATGGCCTGAGGCTGATAGTTTGAGGATGGACCATTTCTAGTTTGCAACTTGTATGATTTACCTGCAAATTTGAATGCTTTAATTTCTTAATTTTTCTTGTACATAATTAGAAATATTTTTATTTATGATTTTCAGTCGTGTATAACTAGGGATGCATATTTTGTATACAGTACCTAGAGTCTTTAACACGTATAGAGTCCGACACACAATATTATATTTACGTACAGAATATTTTATTGTGTGAATGCATAATTGAAATTGAGTATGTAAAAGAAAATTTTCAAATTATAACCATCAAACAGGGATTTATTGTCCCCGGAATAGCCGCTTTCTCATAAGAGTTAGCGAGACACACTTGTCGTGTCTCAGCTATATTTTATTGTGAAGATAAAATAAAGAATACACTCAATTTATCTAACGTTATGCTTGTATTGACATAAATATGGAGCCATGATGGAGGGTATTGTTGTTTGCTTGACCGTTCCACCAATACATTTTGACACCTCAACACATCACATTTTTATAATAAAGGGGAAGATGTCGACATAATTTGTTATGAAGAGATGAAATTTCGAGAATGTCAAAAATATGTTGATAAGAAAATCAAAATAACAACAATTTTGAAAGTTGAATCTGAACCAAAAAGAAAATTCCTTCTCTCCATTGAAATTTCTTAAATTAAAAAATTAAACAACCGAAAAATGAAAGCATTGAAAATCACTCGCTACTATCAAATGGCGGCTACTAAAGTCTCAACTTGTGAGTCCATTTAGTGGGTGGGGTTGGGCCATTTTGGGGGGCCAAAGGTTTAAGACTTTTCGTGGTCAAACCATGCATGGGCAGACCCATTCATTTGAGCCAATACGATAGCTCTCCAAAAATGTGTTCGGCGTGTCATTTCTTCTTTAGGTAAAGTAAGTTGAAGGAGGTTGACTGGTTGACACCCTTGTCGTGCGCTCTTATGGTTATTGTTCAACATGCACTTGAGACTCACTCGCCAGCTATTGACGATAAAATTAGCACTATCGAATTTATACCACGAGTAAAGTAAGTTAAAGGAGGTCGACCTATTGGCACACCTGTCATGGACGGATCTAAAGTGGGATCCGTTGCCCCCATACTAAATTTGAGATCCAAGATTTTGCAATAAATATTTCAAAATTTTACCAAAGATTTTCAATTTTTTTGTGAAATTTGTCCCCCAACAACTCTACTTTTATGGCTTCACCCTTGTCAAAGATGAAAACGAGTTTGGTACGTGGGTATGCGTTATCAAACAAAAGAGTTGGGTCGAAGCTAATCCCACTCTAACAATCATCGGGCTTGATAATCTCAACAGGGTTTCGACATTGTTCAAGGAGGCCAACGATGGCAAGCAATGCTTCTAATCGTGGTAGATTCTCCAGTTCATCGTGTAGATATGCCACAAGACTTCGTGTTTGTGTGTGTGTCTATATATCATCGTGTAGATGCGCCCAAGACTTCATGTTTGTGTGTATGTTCTTGTTTTGTTTATATGTATGTTCTTGTTTTGTTTGGTTCAAATATTTTACTCTCTTCATCCCATTTATATAAGCTTATTTTGTTTTTTAAACAGAATAATAAATCTTATTTAATTAGTTTACTTTTATTTAATTATCAATAACTATGAGTAAATTATTATTGGAAACAGTAAAGAAATAAGAGTAAATTAACAAAACAAAACATTCTCAATAAAAAAATAAGACTATATAATTCGGATAAGAAAATAAAGAAAGTCAGCATATATTGAGGGAGTATATGAAAAGATAAATGTGTAATGACACAAATTGATGTTTCCAAACACAATCTACAGAGTTTTCACTTTTCTTGAAAATATATTTTCTTTATATGAGAAAAATCAAATGAATGTTACAAATCCCAGTAAGACAATATCCAAGAAAAAACCACCAACTTCTAGTTTCCATCATCACCCCAAGCATCATCCCTCAAGTTCTGTCTTGAAACTATCCGATTCTTCCTAGCATCTTCCTGTTTTCTATATTCTGCCGAGCCAAATGTTGAAGGCAACCTTATTCCCATTCCTTGTGCAATCATTCTCTGGGCAGTTCTTGCTGATGTTCGAGGCCTTTGACGAGGAGGCTCCAGATCTGAAAAGGAATTAAATAAATTCTAAGCACAGATACTGGAATGATCAGAACAAATTAAACGTTCATCAACATCTATCTACGTTCCAATTCAAATAACAAAACTGATTTACGAATAGGGAAAAAATTCAACTCAGAAGCGAATGAGAGAGAATCAGATTACAACTCCTAATCATATATTTGCAGTTATTATTGGCCCCAACTTAAGGGTCCATTTGGCAACACTTTTGAAAGTCAAAATTGCCGATTCTAAGATTAAGAAACTGCTTTTGAACTTGTTTAAATAAATTCTGTAAGTGATTGGTCTGGTTACAAGAAATTTTAGGGGAAGCATGCCTAAGGTAAAAGAAGCAGAATCACTGCCTAAGGGGCACCAAGTCTCGGACTATTGACAAGCCAAAAATCATTACTACAGAATTTTTACATCTTTAAATTATAATCTTTCTAGTAAAACTGTGAAGATTGTACTATAATTATTCATCATTCGCATGCATACTAACATTTTTTATCTGTTTCTTCACGTATGCTAGTGCATAACCTTATACAAGATTAAATTCATGATACTACTGATTTAACCACTACGCTGCATATTATGAATTAGATAATCATAACATTTTTCGTAGAAGCACAACTTACAAGAAATCAAAAGTGTAAAGACAAGTGTTCAAATAGGTTTCTTTTCTCCGGTTCTCTTATCCTGCCAATGCATTTATGAGATAATTATACCAACTCCCCAGTCTCTTCTGATTAATAACTAACACTCCTTGCTTGGAAATCAAAGATCTCCCCTATTTATTGTCTAATAGATTAGCAAAGTCGGTAAAATAAGGTCTTACTACCTCAAATACCCCTTATGTCGCCACTTAGCCCCTGTTTGGTCCGGATAAGTCAAAGTCAACAATTAATTTTAACCACACATTTTACGGGACCCAGAACTTTTCAACCACACATTTCATCAACTTTTATCAAAATCTACTAAAAAATCTAATTTTAATCTCCAGGGGCTTAATATTTAACTGAAACGTATGAAATCGTTCAAATTGAGGAATACAAAAAAAGTAAAAAAAAAAAAATTTAAATTAAATCTGTTGGCGGTCGCAGAGAGTATCCATAAATTTTATTAGATTTTCCATATTTTTGTTTTCTCTGTAAGTTCTAAAATCGAAATAACTTTTCAAATTTATTAAAAGATGAGGTAATAACTTGTTAAGATTGTCATTACTTCTTATGAATATAATAAGACATTAGAAGTATGACAATAAATGACAAATCAAAAGTTCTCTCCTTTCCCCCATTTTATTCTGTTTTTATTTTTTGATTTTTCAATCAGACGGAAGTCACAGAATATATTACATATTGTCTCTAATTTATCTTTTAGATATAACAAGCACCAAAATAAGGGGTATTTCGGTATTACATCCTGTAATTTTTAGTAAAATTTGCCATTGACAGAGTCAAAGGGGGAATCTGTTAGTCCAAAGATAAAGAAGGGAGGTCTTTGAAAATTTTCAAACAGGAGGGGTGTTGGCATATTAATTAGAAATGACAGAAAATTTTCATCATCTCTAATTATTGCTTCTGAAGAGAGAATATAATATGCATAACTCTCACCTTTTGGCGGAATTAAGCTCAAAAGTTCATCGTCTTCAGCAAGTACACGTACTGTATATGGAAAACAAATGGAGGTACTAGCCTCAAGAGCTACATCACAAAAAGAAAGTGTAAGTCAAGTAATATAAACTTAACGTCAATGTCAACTTATCAATTGAACAATGCAATAATAGAATATCATTTGAGTTTACAATGGCAATAAAGAGAACTGTTTCACTGAGCAAATTTTGTTATATATACCTTGTTTGAGCTCCATTTTATCAAAAACCATTTTTTCAAAACTTATTTTCAACCACACATTCTCCAATAAAATAATTTTACACGTAAACCGTAAGCTTTTTCGTATTTTTTAATCACACATTCTCCAAAAAAAAACACTATTCCAAAATACATTTTTTGCCCCAAAATGGGGCTCAAGCAAATCTATATTCTTGAAAGCAAAAACTGAAAGACTCTTTTTCCATTTGAATGTTAGATGCACTAGACATGTGCGAGACATTAAATGCAGTGGACAGCATCCCCAGGAGAGGATTATTGGAAGAACATAGCAAGATTTGAGATGCCACCTCTGACTACGCATTTGATGAAAGACTTGAACCTAACCACCATTCTTATATATAATTGAAAAGTCTTCTGCCCAAGATGATTGCAGAAGAAAGAAATGGAAGGGAGAAAAGGAAGGAACCAGAAGAATTTAAAAGATTACCTAATTCATAAAGAAACAATATGGCTTTTGCCAATTTGCCCATAGGGTAAATAGGAGGGTATCTCAGGATAAAAGAATATCTCATGCCTTGAGGATTTCCTATAATCTATTTCATTTAACGTACACTGAGAAGGCGACTTTTCTTTTTCTTTTATCTATACGAACAAGACTGATTACCAAAAATAAAGAGGGGGGCACATGCAAATATGCCTAACAACAAGCTCAATCCATGATGTAGAAAAGAATACAGAATTAGAAACCTGTAAATGATATTGCTTTGCCGGATAATAGCTGTAGTTTAAAATGACCCTGATAAATATGGCTATATAATAATAAAAGAAGAATGTTCATTGTAGATATATTGGAGAACAATTGTATCTGAATCCAGTTGCATAAAATTGTTCTACTTCACATAACTTTGAATTATGGTAGACAGAAACCGAAGTGCTTAAACCTACAGTGTAAGCCTCTATTTGGGATCCAAATTATAATTGATTTCTATCTGCTCTTATCAACCACACATTCTCCAATAAATAATATTACACGTAAATCCAAAATTTTTCCTTCTATTTTAACCACATAATCTCCAAAAAATTACCATTCCAAAATATATTTTTCCCAAAATTTAATTAAAATGGAGGCCAAACAAGGGCTAAAAAGACCCTTTGTCGAAACCAACCATATAGGTACATACGGGTTACATCAAAACATACCAAAGCTTCATGTGAATGAAGCATTTGATAACAGTGGAATTTCACAGCAAAACTTTCCTTTTTTTTTTTGGAGCTTCTGTAGAGTTGTAAAGTTTTTAATTTCTAATCTTTAATAAATTCAAAATAATAAAACTCCTAAAACGGTAGGAAACATTAGTACCAAGTGATGGTGTTTTAAACACTGCCAATGCCACAGCATCATTCACCCATCGAATCACGACACGATCTTTGAATTTCTCCAATACCTTCTCTAGGTCAGTTGTCCTAGTGCTTGGAGGAAAGTCCGCCAGAACAATAACATGGCGTGTACCATATTCCACTGAATCTCAAGAAGGAAAGTCAGATAGTATAACATCTTATAACATTCCATAATCAATTGAATGAAAACATAAATATGAATAAATTCTGCCACTCTATCAGCTTAAACTTCTAGAAGTGATTCAACACAAGCAAGTCTTGGAATATATAGATGTAAGGCACAAGAAACTAAAATTACTTAAAAACGAGAAAAGAAAATAATTGCTGGCAAATTAGACAAGGAATTCTGGCATCATTTGCATATGAACTCCCACCACAATCAAAAGTAGTAGGATTGGCAACTGATCATGGTTCAAACTAACCACCGATGCTTTCCCTTTCTCATTTACCTTTACCCTTCACTTTCTGAAAATTAATATCAAGTATCATGAAATTAAATTAACAATGTAAGTAGTTTGACAGGTTGATCTGCAACCTGAGAATGCTAACTCCTTCAAAATTAGGAACCAAAAAAATCAAATATAATCCTGTAAAATCTCTAATAAATTGCATTACTTGGTAAATTCTCAATCTCAAATCTTAAAGGAGCAATGATATCTCCGAAAACCTGATGCATTTCTGTTATCAATCTTTTCTAGCCGGCATGTATATAGCATTAAGTCCTGAAATTATAATAGCACAAAGACAGTTAACAAAATTTTTTTACCGATCTTTTTAAGCAGGTGACTTTTGCCCTCATTAATGTGGTTGCAATAACAAGCATTGGAATCCGAAACTAAGCCTAGATTTTTATCATTATAAAATGTATTATCCTACTGTCGAAAGAACTAAATCTTGAGTTTAGAATCATGCAAATTGTTGTTCACAGACCAATTATGAACCCTATTTTACTTGTTTATAGTAAATAAACCCAAAACAACTGCACCAATGAATGACATAATTAAAAAATTCAATCAAAATGTTCTTAAGATCTAAGACTACTGATATTAGGTTTCATGCAGTCGAAACACAGATATGGTAAACTAAGCATATTAATAATAAAAGGTTTGAATTCTCATTTAAAATCAATGAGAAGCCCACAGACGTACAATTTCTTATTTCCATGTTATCAGCGGTGCCTTGGGCATTGTCTTCCGTGCCTTGGGAATTGTCTTCTGAGTCATCAATAACAGGTAGATCAGACTCGTAATCACTGTACAAGCCATGTTTCTTGTATGAAAACGTTCCCCTTCCACGTTGCTTGGTGCTATGCACAGTTGATTCTTCCAGAGTGAGGTTCGATACCTCTGGCAAACATTTTGGGGAGAGTAATTCATCAGGAGCTCGATCTGCAATAGCTTCCCAGTCTGCGATAACCACGACTTTTGAAGAAAATTCAACAAATAATAATTCTGGAAAAATGAGGGGCCAATATAATGATAGAGTAGATGAGAGGAATTAGATTATAAGACTATACACAGTCAACTATTCATTACTGACATGTGAAGCACACTAAAATCCAGAGCATAGCATTCACAATGCCCATGAGGCAAATTATGGCATAAACTTGCATTACCTACTGAGTTAGAATAATGCTATCTATCTAGACAGCTTAGTTGGCAATTAAGTGATATTAATTGATATGATATATTCCTCTAAGTTCGTAAAATCTGTAATAGATGTTAAATTTGAAGGAACCAATATTGCTCCATATGCCAAAATTATCGTTTCCAATACCCAATAATGATAGCTTGTTTACAATATTAATTGCATAAACTCTTAGAGAGAAAGATCCAAAGTATATAAACAGTTACTCATGTACATATTATGAATTATTATTATCTCGCTAGGCAATATTAGCACAAACTGTGAGTCAAATTCAAATAAAAAACAGACAAACTAAGCCTTTTTCCTTATAAATTTAGGTCAGCTGTATGAATCATTGTTTGCAATTCCATTAAGCACATTGCTAGATTTTCAGAAAGATCTAAAGTAACTATATCCTTAGACAATTCGAACACATCCCCATGATTTCAAACAACGTCCTACTAGAATCCCATAAAATGAAAACTGCAACATGCACATCCCCTAAAGTACCTAGTTTGTGGTCCCATCATTATTTTTAGTTCCCTACATCAATATTCATTAATTCAAGAGAATGGAGGAAAGACAATTTCCTTCGGTAAAACTGCAGGAAAAGCGTACTTGGTGGGAATCACAACTCCCATTGAATGAACGGCAGCTGGAATGATCTATAATGGAAAAGGCAACGATTCTTTCTTTTAACAATCCTTGGTTTGCATGACTAAATTTAAGTGGCGAAACATTTTTTTTTTTTTTTACCAAAATAAGCCCCCCACAAATTCAGCAACAGGGCTTTCTTTATGTGAAGAAGTGGAAAGGCCACTCCAACTTCTCCAAGAATTAACTCTCAGAAAGTCATCCCCCTCCCCCATCCACTTGCTCTCCCTCTGACTCTCTTTGTCCCCTCACCAACCCAAACTTCCACTTGCATTACAACTGCTACCTTGTTCCCCTTCGCACCTACTTCCTCATTCCCATTCATTCATCATAGAACCAGAGGGAAAGAGTAGGTACAAAACAGTGAAGGTAAAAGGGATATTCATGAAAGCAATGTTTAACGAGGCAGAGCATTGACTTCTATATGCAGCCTTTCAAATTAAAATCTTTGTTGTATCTCAGGAATCATACTCATTTAGTCATTTATAGCTATTTTAGGATTTCAATATATTTCCATATTAATTTATGCTCGAATGGATCAGAAAATAGATCTGCTCATGTTTTATGTGTATCCAGACTATTTCCAATGGTTGGTGCCAGGTGTAAGAGTAACTTATCCTTTGTGGCTACACCTGATCATGTCATTTATTGCATTTCAGAGAGATGCTTTCTACACAATAACTTAAAAAACATGGTATTAGTAAACCACAAGGTGACAAGACGACAAACAACATGTCTGCCTTCTAGAACTAAAGGTCAAGCCTATATATGACATGTAGACAAGCAATTAGCAAATTAGAACATCCAGGAGGAATTGCATTCAACTCGTCATGGAAGCGATTTCCAAGTGCAAGTTCAATAGTGGTCCCAAAGAATGGAGATATATTGCGTGTCGGATGGAAATACACATAGAAAATGGTCTAAGCTTAACTAAAATTAAAATCTGAGAAAATATCAAACAAACATTTTGATTTTTTTTGCCCAAAAACATTCAGACCAGCATTCAACTAATGAGTGCCAACTTAGTGAAGTCATATTAAATGAAATACAAATGTATGTACCATCATCACCCGAGCTCTCTTGTGGCAAGCCATCATTTTTCAACTCTAAAGAATCCTCGCAATGACCTTCAAAACACAAGGAAAATTAGTTCTTAAGCGACAGTGGAAATTAAAAAGGCATTACAACAAACCCAAGTAAATGAGGTTAAGAAAATGAGTATAACTATTACATTGAAATTTCTATCATAATTATGTATAAATGCATGATACTTAAAGAAACCAAACTATGAAAAGATAAAAAGGAGAAAGCAAATCACCTTCTGCAATTCCATCAGTAGTTGAAGCCTCATTTTGCAAACTGTGAGCTTCTGAATACGGTTGATGGGTTGATTCCTTCACAATGTGTAAATCCCTGAATAGTCACAACCAATGATTAACTACCAAAAATTAGTGACATTAAGCAAACTAGAGCTCATAAGACCAAAAAGGTCTCAGATTTACAATCATATGCTTCCCAATTCACTAAAATTTTAGAAATTAAAGAGAAGATATTGCTCTGTTTCTATTCCACGAAATAGTAAAACCACAAAATAAAAATCCAATTGGCACCATCATTGCCAAATACTAATTTTCCGAACTCAATTTTACACTATAACGTATCAGAAGGAAATTAATTTGAAAAATCATTCTGGAATCATGTAGTAATTTAATAACTTAATATCCATCAATAACAGCGAAAAATCTATATGAAAGATTGAAACTAAATTCTAAACACGAAAACAATAGAATTACAAGAAAATAAATACAACACAAGAACCTTGTTCTACACCAGACATACGAATCCAAATAATAATAATAATAATAATAATAATTATTTATCTCACTGTTGTTACTTTAATACTTCAAATAAAATCTTGAACTGAAAGGAATCATTTTTCAATCTTTCATGCCCAAAAAAAAGAAAAATCAAGAAGAAGAAGAAGAAGAAAATAGTAGGACAGACCCTTTTTTATGTTTGATTTGGAGCGCACGAGAGAGGGCTTGGTCGGCTTTGAGAGAGAGGCCTTTGGTAGAATAGAGCTTGGACAACTCTAGAAAGACGGTGGACAACTGATCATCTTTGAGAGAGGATGAATTTTTTTCATCATTATTTAGTTTCTCTTTTTCAAGACTGGAGAGTGTAGATTCAAGAAAAGAGATAGCTTTGTCAATTTCTCCACCATGTACAAGGTCCTCAACGGCCTCACTCCAGTTGCAGTCGGTGGCTCCGCTACTGCTCTCCATTGTTCGATTAGCACTCGAAGAAAAAACGGACGCTGGGTTTTGATTGAAGATGCTGTCGGGTTGGGGCCGAGGCGCCGAGCGGAGGTGGTGCGTGGGTGAGTTGGGGATGAGTTAATTGTCCAATGGTCACTCAAGTTATGTCCGTGCCTACTGTAAGATATGTGTTTTAACCACTAAATTTATTCAAACAATGTCATAGTATAATATACATTTCAAAGATTTTAACGAAATTAGTCACGTGACAAATGAATAAGAGATGCTAGAGGTACATCACTTCTTATATCGGGGTGTCCATAATGGACACCCGGAGCCTCCTCATTGGAGGGAGGGTCGGTGGGGTCGGCACTCCCTCCAATGAGGAGGTGCCGATGTCCATTATGGACACCCTTGTGTAAGTGGTGATATACCACTAAAATAATCCCTAATGAAATGCATTGTGGCGTCCTACCATGTCGTAAATAAATGGATCGTGATTGGAGTACAGGGACTCCAATCACAGGTCTTTGCCCGACCACACACAACAGGTGGGGCCGGGTAAGACCGAGGCCTGTACTCAGGCCTTTATCCTAAATAAATTGTTATATCTTCAATTATTCACTGAACTTTAAAAAACGCTTTCGATTACTCACTAAATTTTGAAACACGTTTTCGATTGCTCACTAAATTTTGATGTGATCGAATTTTGGTCACTAAACATATGAAAATGATATCGGCTTGTTGTTCGTTAAAAAAAATGTATACTGTAAGCGCATAGATTGCATAAAAGTAGTAAAGTTGACAAATTAGTTCAGTTTGTCGTTCCACGAGAAATTATTGCTCAATTACACAATAGTTAAATTTAATTTGAACATATTTTTGTAGAACTTTAAGATATTTTCATCGTTTGAAAATTTTTAATTTATTATATGTTTCTTTGTTAAAATTAAATTAAAAATTTAATTTTGCAATGAAACACACAATAAGTTTAATTAAATAGGTTGTTTATTTTCAAATGATGAAAATGGTTTAAAATTCTATAAAAACATGTTAACAATTAATTTAATTATTGTATAATTGAGTAATAATTTCTCGTTGGGTCGACAAATTGGACTTGTTTGTTCACTTTATTACTTTTACGCTATCGATGTACTTGTAGTACACATTTTTTACACAAACAACAGGCCAACGACATTTTGATAAGTTTAGTGATCAAAATTCGACTACCTCAAAGTTCAACTAACAATCAAAAATGTTTTGAAATGTTTAGTGAGCAATCAAATACGTGACGTTTGTTAACGAATTGACGGTGAACCACAAGTACATTCTGTTAGTCGGGTTGCTAATTCCGTTAAAGATTTGAAACAGATGTTATGGTAGTGAATAATGTCCAATGTTTTAATAAATTTAGTGATCAAAACTCAATATCTTAAATTTCAGTGAACAAACACAAGTTTAGTGACCATTGAAACAATTAACTCATGGGGTAGTTTCTCATTCAATCATATTTCCTTCATTTTTTTTAAATTGATTTTTCTTTTCTTTTTTTACCATCATTTTCCTTGTAATTTTTTTCATTGACTTGATTTTCTTCCAAATTAGGATATTGTTATCCCCCCGCTCCGAGGTTACAGAAATTGGCCACGATGGACACCCTTGTGTAAGTGGTGATATACCACTAAAATAATCCCTAATGAAATGCATTGTGGCGTCCTACCATGTCGTAAATAAATGGATCGTGATTGGAGTACAGGGACTCCAATCACAGGTCTTTGCCCGACCACACACAACAGGTGGGGCCGGGTAAGACCGAGGCCTGTACTCAGGCCTTTATCCTAAATAAATTGTTATATCTTCAATTATTCACTGAACTTTAAAAAACGCTTTCGATTACTCACTAAATTTTGAAACACGTTTTCGATTGCTCACTAAATTTTGATGTGATCGAATTTTGGTCACTAAACATATGAAAATGATATCGGCTTGTTGTTCGTTAAAAAAAATGTATACTGTAAGCGCATAGATTGCATAAAAGTAGTAAATTTGACAAATTAGTTCAGTTTGTCGTTCCACGAGAAATTATTGCTCAATTACACAATAGTTAAATTTAATTTGAACATATTTTTGTAGAACTTTAAGATATTTTCATCGTTTGAAATTTTTTAATTTATTATATGTTTCTTTGTTAAAATTAAATTAAAATTTTAATTTTGCAATGAAACACACAATACGTTTAATTAAATGGGTTGTTTATTTTCAAATGATGAAAATGGTTTAAAATTCTATAAAAACACGTTAACAATTAATTTAATTATTGTATAATTGAGTAATAATTTTTCGTTGGGTCGACAAATTGGACTTGTTTGTTCACTTTATTACTTTTACGCTATCGATGTACTTGTAGTACACATTTTTTACACAAACAACAGGCCAACAACATTTTGATAAGTTTAGTGATCAAAATTTGACTACCTCAAAGTTCAACTAACAATCAAAAATGTTTTGAAATGTTTAGTGAGCAATCAAATACGTGACGTTTGTTAACGAATTGACGGTGAACCACAAGTACATTCTGTTAGTCAGGTTGCTAATTCCGTTAAAGATTTGAAACAGATGTTATGGTAGTGAATAATGTCCAATGTTTTAATAAATTTAGTGATCAAAACTCAATATCTTAAATTTCAGTGAACAAACACAAGTTTAGTGACCATTGAATCAATTAACTCATGGGGTAGTTTCTCATTCAATTATATTTCCTTCATTTTTTTTTTAAATTGATTTTTCTTTTCTTTTTTTACCATCATTTTCCTTGTAATTTTTTTCATTGACTTGATTTTCTTCCAAATTAGGATATAATTGCACCATGGTCCCGAACCTATGGATTATAGCAAATTGATCTCTAACTTAGAGGATAAAGCAAAATAATCACCAACCTATTGAACTAGGTTCAAACCCACTTGCGAGGGACGGTTTCACAGAGCAAAATGATTATAAACCTATTGAACTAGGTGAAAACCTACTCGTGATAAATGGTATTGTCTATCTATTGTGAGAAATAAAGTGGAATAGTGGAACGACGATTATGCCCTTCTAAAAGGTAAGCATGTTAAGAAAACGTGAATATTTAGTAGTAAGATGGAACAATTTTTGTATGTCAAGGCTCAAGAATAGGTTTGCACATATTTCAATGTAATAGAAATATTTGAGTGTCGTGTTGAAATATTTATTCCAACAAAGAAGTAACGAAGGATAGGTGGGTTCTAGGGATTTCGGTAGACTAGGTTATTCATGATTAAACATCATGCACTTAAATTTCTAATTGTAAAGAAGATGTGTCTCGTGTGTAAATCTTTCTCAAGAAGATAAATGGATAAAATTCAATATATGTGTGTGATTTGATTTACAGCCTAAAAGAGTAGCATGAGAGAGACATTATCAATTGAGCTAATATGAGAAATCACTATACCCAAGCCATGGCCAATAACGACATGGTCCATGCCTTCACAAATTTACGTATTGATTGGTGTGTATCCCATTTAATGCACTATTTGATAGTATAAGATAATACCTCCACTAGATTTGATAGGATTCTGATTATTGAGAGCTTGGAATTCAATTAAGTGTCTGTCTGGGAGAAATTCTCAAATCAATTAAAATTCTTTTTTTGGTCGTTACCCAACAGAGCAGCAGCCATATTTGACTTCTCCTCTCTAATGTGGTCCCCACATGTTGACTGTAATGGATACTTTCTTACTTGGCAACTGCTGGAATTGTAATTTTAATTGGAACCAGATACACCCTAAGGTCAACACAATAATAAAAATGTATCTCTATCTTCCATCAAATTGCGAAATCTTTTTACTTGATCTAAACAAATAATTCACCTTTCAACTCATTACAATTCACAAAAAAATAATTATTGATCAAGTAATCATGTATTTTTAAAGTGAAATCAATAGATAAATCAATTAATAGTGCAAAGTATGAGAATTAAAATTAAAAGTTCAAAACTAGGTCACATCGTTCATCATAACTAGAAAATTTAACTACTCATCATCATTAAAAAAAGCATAAAAGAATTAGACTAAGTTATCGAATTTTAAAGAATAACGAGAACAAGATTAATATCTTGTACCAAGAATTCTTCTTGTAAAATCGTTCCAAATCCTAGCATCTATCGTGTTCTCTAAGTTCCACCAGAAAAAAGTAGGGGTGGCGTCTAGGCGAGACCAAAAGGCTGAGTTGTAACTCTTGCAATTGCGCGAGGGTTTCGCCCACGAGGCGCCCAACTGCGGCCTTGGCTGCTAGAAATTACAACTCAGGACCTCCATCTATCAAACTTGTGCACTTTGCTCCCCAGTTCACTGTTCTCATTCAAATTTAGTTCCCCAAGCTCAAATTTTCATACAATTTGACCTTTCAATTTTAAATCCTCTCAATTAGGTCCTACCACTTCCAATTTCCTCCTAATTGATCCTTTATATTCTAAACTCTTCAAAATTGATCCTCCAAAGTATTGAGAACATTCAAATTGGTCCACAGTACTTGTAAAATCTTCCAATCAACTCTTTCAAAGTTTCCAATTAAGTCCTCAACATTTTTCAGCAATCATGCAATTCCATACTTTTGTCCAATTTAAGTTCCATGACTCTTTCTTTATCTCCAATACACCTCCTAGTCGCGGTTTTCACATATAAAAGCAAATATGCACTAAATTCAGTAGAAACCAGTTCAAATAGTCGATATTCGTCAAGTTTAAAAATCTAGATGAGCATGTAAAATACTCTCATCAATTAAGCAAGATTTTCAATCATCACTTAATTAACTATGTCCCCAAAAGGGTTATTTTAATCCGATCAGTTAGGGTAATAGTTGCACCGAACATGATTTTTTTTTTTTACTCGGACGTGTTGGGGTAAGGTTTGACATATAGAAATAAGACAAGCAATGGAAAGATACGGCTCCACGGATACTAGTTATGGAGTTGATTTGTCCTTTATTGGCCATTAAATACACACAAACCTAGTTTCTCTACATTTGAACATACACATTACCATGCAAACGTTAGTATTAAATATATATTAATTGCATAAATGTTTCCAAAAGCTACCAAATGTAAATATTCAACATCGTAGATACATAAAATTTCCACAAGACATCCCTAGCAAATATTTTCCACATCCAAATCTTACACAATCAAGCATTTATAAGAAACTACTAGCTAGTTATATATTCCAATCCGGTCCAGTGTGAATAACTAGTATCTAACCTACTTTAAGCATGAACAAATATCACCAATTCAAATCCCTATTCAAATCTTTCTTAGCAATAAACTTTTGTTGTCTGTCCTATATATTATATCGCCCCCCTAAGAACTGCAAGATCACCCCAAGGCGTGCTTCATGTCGAGGTGAATGCTTCAGCCACGAAATCTGATAAGATCTGAGCCGAATATGGCTTCCTATTCTGGAAATCAACAATCTGATCACGATAGCCAATGTTTGAATGGGATTCTTGAAGGTTGTTTACCCTATTGTAGTTATTTTCCACTGTTCCTGCAGTTTCAGTTCTTGTTCCCAATTTAATGTTTTCAGAAGGTGGCAGTCCAAGTGTGAGAAAAACATTGTTTCCATGGAATCTTGTTCCCAGTTGCTCTGGTCCGTTAAACCTTCCGAGATCTTCTATTGCATAAGTGTTGAATCTGTTACTATGACTTGTATTAGCAGCCATTAACGTTAAATAGTTGTCTCCTGACAACCCTACGCTTGTCTGATCTGCAGCCTTTGCTTCCATTTGCATTGGAATTGAATTGCTTGGAGAATTATGCTCAACATTTCTTGGTTTTTTTGAATTCTTTCCGAGTATTTCCTGGATATTTCCATTGTTATTCTCCTCAAGAGCTGTGGATTTTGTGACCAATTCTCTCACAGCAGCTTCACTTTTGCTTGTGTTTTCATTGGAAATGTTTGATTCTGGATTCTTCATTTCTTCCAAGTACATCTCCTCAACCATAGGTTTCCATAGCCGAACACGAGCATTTATGAACCAGTTAGACACCTGAAATGAGATAGAAAATCTCAATCTCTCATGTAATTGATAAGTATATTTGATACGATTATTTATGCACTTAAATTTACTTAGTATTTGATAAATTGAGCGAATTTTTACTCATATTAGTGTATATATTGTGTTTACTTGTTAGACCTTATATATGAAAATGATTGATGCAAAATGAAATGATTTAAAGTATGAAAAGATGAGAATGTGAAACGAGGAACATACGTACTGAGGACACTTGCAGAAAATGATATTACAAAGATCTCCTTTGGAAAAAGAATGTTAGAAAAATAATTGAATTGCAATTCGGAGTTGTGGTGTGTACTTGTGTGCTGCATGCTGCATGTATTTTGAAGACCAAATTTAAAATAAATAAATGTGACTATTTTTAAATAAATTAAGCTTTTGGCTTCAATTCTAGCTGCTACCAATTTTTAAAATTATGCATGTTTGAAAAAATGGATTTGGAGTGCAAATGGAGCAATGTGATGAAGACTAATAGATGAATGCATCCTCGAATGTCTTAGACTTTCACATGACCTGGGGTGGTTTGAAAGTGTACAATCATATGTGAATAATTTTTACCAAAATGAGAATATGTTGAGGACACTTTTAGATACATTCATGTCAATTATAATGAAATTTTTAATTTTTCGAATTTTAGGTAGGGTCTGAAAGTAACAAAAGAGTCAAATCGACTTAACACTCAACATATGGTAACAACAAGTACGACTAGAACAAATGAAGTGTAATTTCTTCTGCTTTTATTGTGTACTCCCCATATCGGGGCACGATAAGCTTTTAATATATTTTTAGCTAGAGGTCCGGCGGAGATGGTACCGTTGCTATAGATGTTCAACCATGAAAATTTAACTTTGGTCCCTAATTATCAACAGAACTCGACTACATAAAATATGTATCAATATATTTACCTGACTCCTACTAAGCCCTGTTTGCTTGGCCAGACTGTGTTTATCTGAATCCTTAGGGTAACTGCAATTTGAAGTGATATTTTCGTGATTCTTGGCATATGTATGATAATCAAACATTGAAAAAAGAAAATGATGATTCTATAAATAGATGAAAGTACTAACGGATGAAGGAAGTTCTCGAAGAGCCAAGCACGAAGAACTGAAACGGCTCTTTCAGGCAAACCTCTTTGAGGTCTCCATGCACTGTTTTGCATCATTCCCAGCTGTTGCAATGACCTTTGTTGCCGGAATTGATGGTCTACAAACTTAAGTCTCGAGCCTTGGAACTTTTCGCCTGAATTTTCTACGTCTCCTAAGCTCTTGCTTATTGCATTCAGTTGTGCAGATATTGCATCTCTCAGGCACCGGAATTGCTTCGATATTGTCTTTAAAGCAAGTTGAGTGTATGATTTAGCTGAGCCGAATCCTGCTGCCATCTCAAATGATGCCACAACAATTTGCATTTGTTGATGGTACTGTCTGTATCTCAGCTCAACCTAAAAATTTCAAGAATTAAGTAATAAATAAAAAAATCAGAAGTCTTTGTAATATATATTTAATTGGATCCTTATATGCATGTTATGACACGGTCCAATTTTCAACCAGTGAAATCAATCAATTTTTGGAGGGGGACAATACTTAGTGACCTGAACCCACAAAACTGGACACTTAAATACGCCGAATTTGCATGGGCCAGCCCCCTAAAGGGAACTCAATAGAATCATTATTTTCTCTGATTGAAGTTGAAGTTGAAGTTGAAGTTGAAGTAGAAGCAGTTATAAAAAGTTTGAAGTTGCACTTTCGATCTGCCAACACTATAGCCATTGGTGAATGATGCAAGGAAATTCTTTTATGGCTTAAAAACTATGATACATATGTGCTGAAAAATCTAACTATTAAAACTATTCGGTATTGTCACGTTTCGTTGTATGGAATCTTTCCTTAGAATGACATGAACCCAACTCCATTCATGGATATTTGTCCCACATATTGTTTGATTAACTAAAGACATGACATATTACTTTAATAGCCTTCTGCAGACAAGGATCGGAGAAAACTCCATAGTATCCAAATTAATTCAAGTAAGAAAACCAGAATGGAAAAAAGAAAAAGAGAAGGGAAAAAAAGTCACAAAGTACCTCATCTAACATGTTAATAAGTTTAGCTTTCTTCATCTGAATCTCCTGTCTTTGAGCAGTTGTAAGTTCAGTCTCACAACCCTTGGTACCAAAGGCCTCAGCATTCACGCCGGTTGACTCTCTGATTATCTTCCGTTTCTCTGCAGCCTCTCCGGCCACCCCTCCATCGTTTTTTGTGCCTTTTCCGAGGACTACAAGCTCATCAAGAAGCTGCTGAGCAGCCTTAAGATATTTGGATCCCAAAATTACACTTTGCAGATTATTGACTCCATCAGACACAGCGGAGAGTGATGTGGATGACCCAAGTTTTTGTGATACAGTGACATCATTATTTGTAGGAAGAGACCTGTAGCCTCTCTGTTGGGGTGAAAGGGTCAAAGACAACCCTTGTTGTGTCGGTGACACCGCCGGTCTTGAGTCACTTGAATTTGTTGCAGCCACCACAGAAGATATGTTCTGTAGATTTACACCGCCGGCTTGGTCAACTGACTTCCATAGATTATAGTGGACACTAGGGATTGCACCGTGGGAGGCTTGAATTTCTCGCTGGCCAAGAACTGACGGATGATCGTGATAGTGCGAATTTGGCGACCCAACTGCTGCCGAAAGTGGGACCCCAACAAAGTGCTGAGACTGAGAGAGTGGTGCGTGAGATATCTGCGCGGTGTTAACCTCGTGTCCCGTGGCGGTGGCGGTGGCGGCGGAGTTAAAAAAGAGCATGTTGGCCGGTTTCTGTACTTCTGTATTGTCAGAATACCCTACATAATTAGGGTTCATCAGATAAAGTGTCTGTAGACCATCAGCTTGGATTTCTGAGCTTCCTTGGAAGTACATGGCCATAAATTTCGACAAAATAAACAGATTCTGCAGCTATAAATTCCTGTCAGAACCAATCACAAAACATCTTTAAATATCTATTTTTTACTTATAAGTGCTCAAGAATTCTTGCTAAAAGAGTTCAGCTGATTAATCCCTGGAAGAAAGTAAGAGAGAAGAAACCGATGAGGAATAACCCATGCAATAACTTGAAGATAGCAAACATTTTTTATTCATAAAGATCTGATCAACTTATTTTACAGCTTCAAGCTAATCATTATTATTATATAGGTGAAGATAAAGATGATTTTTTGTTGAAAAATATATTAAAAACAGATAAGAAAAGACAGAAAAATAGAAAAATAAACATCAAGCATAGTATAAGGACACCTTGTCTCTGTCTATCTTAGGATTGAATTGGAAATTTGCTTCTTTGTGAAGTTCAAATTCTGCTGCAAACTCCCAGTCTCTTCAACTGATAAGAAAAATGAATACTAAAAGAGACAGTTGTGTGCTAATAGTGTGCAAGAATGGAACTTTTATTATGATACTGATTTTTTTCTCCTTTCTGATGAGAAAGATAAGGTAATAATTCAAAGGTTGTCTTTGTTTTTGTACAAGATTAGTCTCTCTTTCTACACACACATATTGGGTTAGGTACGTGTGTGATAGATATTAGACAAAGACTTCTGGGGCTTGACCCTGCTAATGTACTAACAATTGATGCTGCCACGTTTGATGAAATAGCCTTTTTATTTTTGTTAATAGCAAAAGCTACAAATGCTGATAGGTATTTCCTCCAATCCTTTTATTTATTTCTTTCTTTTTGGGAGAAAAAAAGGGAAAGTTGAAAACATATTTTTCTTTGAAGAGAAACCCAAAATCTTACTTCTAAGTTGGTTTAATATTAGTAATGAAGTCAACACACGTGTATACTATTCGTCGTGATTTATTAATAAAAATTATACATGTATGAGATATTGAATAAAAAGATAAGAAATCAAACTAAGATTTTGATGGATTTTAAAATATTATAAATCCTGATAAATTTCGTGAATTTTAATAAATTTTCACAAATTCCATAAGAATCTCATGAATTGTGGTGAAATTTCAAAATATTTGGTTATATGTATTTTTAAATATTTGGTTATATGTATTTCTAAGCTCGAAATCCGTTCAAATCTTTGAAAATTCCTCTATTAATGAAACCTTTATAAGTTCACTAATTATTGAAAATACTGATCAAAATTTAAAGGATTTCATTGAATTTCATTAAAATCTCAATTGAGAAAACCTAAATTTAGAAGAACTTTTAAAATTTATCACAATCTCATTTGAGAACACCCCTTACGGATGAGATTAATATTTTAATGAACAAGAGATTGTCTGGGAATCATGATAGTCTCAGTTTTTGCTTTGTTCGATAGAAATAGTTGAACTTTGTGGAAATTAATCCTCAGGGACAAGAAACATGGGAACATGTCAGTTACTACTTTCTATAGATGGAACTTGTTAAAGCTAGGCCTTGTTCGATACGGCAAGTTTTCCATAAAAATGGAAAACTTTTTGCCATTTTCCACTTTTTAGAGGGTTTTTGCCATTTTCCACTTTTTAGAGTGTTTGATAGGAAACATTTTCCAATAATTGATTTTCCACATTTTTTTGGTTTGCCACATTTTCTTACTTTTTGAAGTAAATCAATTCTCACCACTTTGTCGGTAATTAGTTTTCTAGGCAGTTTTTTTTTTTTGCAATGGAAATAAATTATATCTCCAATTGTAATAAATTATATCTCCAATTGTAATAAATTATATCTTTTTAATTGACAATTTTCATGAAAAATAAAGTCAAATGAATACCAAAAGATTCAAAATTTCAATATTTTTCAGGTGTAAGGTTATACCAATCAAACACAATTAATTGACAATTTTCAGTAAAACAAGTTTTAGGCAATTCAATTCCATAGAATTCATTTTCTTTCTACCAAAATTCAATTCGAGTTCAACTCTTGACGTGGTCTATTGCCGTTCTTCCATACTTCTTCTTTTGTGGGGAAATTTTTTAAACAATTTAAATTTAGAATTGTGCTCCTTGTACACTCCTTATGTACGTGGAGTTGACACTCCTTTGCAAATTCAAAAATTGAGTTGCGGGAAAGTGTGTTGTATTTTCAAATTGGCTAATTGTGCTGCAACATGTGGCACAATGTCAAATTTGATGTAAAAAACAATGTACTTGTAGCATGATTGTTAAATTTAACCATTTTCACGTGATCTACAATTTTTATTAATTATTCAACCACACTTTTTATCTATTTTTGTCAAAATTTGTTACTCTTAAAAGATTTATCAAACAAGCCCTTAACAACATACGGTTTTTTAAAAAACTTTTTGTGGGCAATTTGGATGTTACAACAGTACATGTACAAGTAGAAGTCAATAAATGAATAATATATATGTGTGTATATTGAATATAAGCACATTGAAACTCACACGCAAACATGATCTAGTTGCCTTTTGACCTAGTTCATCCTCGCCTATTAGAATTCAACTTCATTGTCAACAAAAAATGTGTGAATAACTCAAATGATATATGTGTCTACCTTATGTGCGAGGGCTCAAAACACAAATGGCTTTTCTTTTTAGTGAACCAACACTACGTTTTTCAGGTCCTTATGCATTTGTGCTAATTCTTTCTTTGCTTGCATATTAGTGCATGTTAGTTGGATTGATATCTCACCTTAGAAGTCACGAGTGTTCAATAATATGTTCGTGAATGCAATAAGAACTAGTCGCCTCAGTGCAACATAGTGTCTTGTTCACGTAGTTATCCATATTCTAGTGTGTCGACTTATATTAAAACTATCGTGACTAGTTCAAGTGTTAGAGATCATTAGTATGGACAACTTTCTAGGCCATTTCTCACACCCAAAAAACGAAGCTGGAACATATAAATATTTTTACACGGTTAGTAAATTTTTAATGTCAAAAATATAAAATTGCTAAAACATTTTTTAAAAATTATTTCTTGGAAGATTGAGGAAGACAAATTGGCAAGCTAAATTTCCAAATAAGATTCATGTTTTTCGATTTCTTTCAAAAACTTTTGCAAACAATTTTCTTGTTCTCTCCATTTTCATGATTTATACCTAGATAATGTTCTATCTATTAGGAATTTATATCCCGTTCACAGGAAATGTTAAAAAGACAATTAATAAATGAAAAAATTACACAAAGATTAAGGTGGAAAACTCCAAAAGTGGAGAAAAGCTATGGACGGTCAAGGAACGAAATATTCACTATATGAAAAATTAGTAAAGTCTCAGAATTATTAGCTTAGTACCTTGTCGTAAGGGAAACAATCACTTAAGTTTTATTGCACTCAACATTTTTCTACTTTTCGTCCGGACAGCCAAAAAAAAAGAGGAAAATTGTAGGATGCTAGACTTGTAATTTTTCATCTCTACCATGTACTCAAAAGAGAATTGGGTCACAGAGAATGAGGATAATGTGAGGTCAATCGAAAACTTTTTCTCTGATTTATTTGCCAGTGGCCTCCCCTCTGATGCTAACGTTGATATTACTGCAAGTGGTATCAATACGCGTCTACAGGGAGATGATCTCCAATGGCTTGACACTCCATTTAATGTGGATGAAACTACTGAGGTTCTAATGAGTATAGGGCGAAATAAGGCACCAAATAGGGCTAAATTACTATGTTTTCATGCTAAGCTGTTATAAACAACGAAAAACTATCGGATAATTCCGATACCAATTTGTTGTGATAATAGGCGAGGAAATAATATGACACAATATGAAATAATTGATCACAAACTCAAGTATAAAATGATTAGTAGAAGAATGGAAGTTTCACTAAAATATGAAGAAAGAATTACAATGATTTTGTGCTTTTGATTCTGTCTAACTTATTCTAAAATATAATAAAGAACTAAATATATGTAGAAAATGTTTCAAGCCATAGAAGTAGAGTTACAGAAATGAATGCTCAAAAAGCGTCAAAACACGAAAATGGTCCCGAGCCGAATGAATATGGCGATTGAGCACCGAACGAGTGCCATCCCAACGCTGGAGAGTCCGGCTGGTTCCAGCTTCACTATTTTGGGCTCTCGAGCTCTAGTCAAGCACCAGCCAAACATAATTGCTTCGAAAAGTCCTTCCTAGTCCATATCTTGATATCTTCAAGTCCAATACAAATTTCAACTCCCAATTGGACTTCCAATTAGAAATTCAACTAGAATTTGCCAAATATACCTTGAATAAGATTTCAAAAGCATTTCAACAAATAGAATTCCTTTTAACATTGACCTTAATTAGAATTTTGAATCATCTTCAAAATAGAATTCAAGTCACGTCCTAATTTAAAAAAGCTTCACTTTGACACGAATTTCACTGCAATTCCTCTTAATGTCGATCTTAATTAGAATTCACAATCATCTTCAAAATCCAATTTAGGCAACACCCTAATTTTAACAAACTCCACCTTGATACGGATTTCACTTCAATAAGTAAACTTCAAAGATTCTCCACCTGAAAACAAATTTCACTGCAAGGAATGAACTTCAATTATTCAACATAAAACCCCAAACGAACTTTTCCATCAAGATTTCCAATTTGAAAATATTCTCTACCTCCACCACAAAACCCAAATGGGTTCAAACTCAAAAAAACCCGAGTAATCAAAATTTCAAGAACACCATTGGACACAACAGTTGCTCAAATCACGAGCAACAAAATCAAATGTGTTTAATAATCACCAAACAAGGCTGAAACAAACCCTGTAACAGAATCACCACGAAATGCTTCGATTGAAGGATCTTTGTTAGAATCATCACATTTAACCACGAACGAAACAAAATTAACTAAACCAGCATCTTTGTAGCTATGTGTAGGCATATTCTTAAAAATGGGCATGTTTCTAGAAATTGAATACAATGGCACCAC